TTATAAATATTTTTCTGAGTACTTTATGTAAGTATAATATTAAAGTAAGTATAATATAAAGTACTCTCCAAAATATTTAGCGATTGAAGAGCAGCATAATTTATAAAAGAAATCAATGTATCGAATAATTAAGGTTATAATAAAGAGTGATATATAATATGTTGTGCCTATTACGTATGTAAAACCTTGAAGCTTGTTTGTAAATTCAAGCCTAGTAATGCGTAATGCAAAATAAGTATTAAATTGAAGGAAAATAACCTTTAAAACAGTATAAGTACTCAATAATAAAATATGCGTTAATTTCGTAAAAATAAGTATTAATCCGAAATATTGTTTGAATCTTATTGTATGCATTTCAAATTAAAAAGTTTGTTATACGAAACGAGACACATACGGAATTATTTGTTTTACTTTAATTACGTGATCGTATAAACTTATGCCCACTATCAAGAGCAAAATTCAGATACCATCAGAAAAATCTAACACATAATTAAAGTTTCTTATCAGAAAAAATTCTATCTCCTAAGTATTTTTTAAACAATCTAAGACGACGAAAATTTACAAACCTGCCACTTTTTAGCGAAAAGGGTTCATGATTTGAACCTATGTAAAGACAGAATTTGATAAGGAAAAAATTGGAGAAGAAAATTAGGATAAAAAAATTCAACTTTATAATAATGATCAGACGTGTGTTTGTCCAAATCGTGCAACGTAGTCATCAATCTTGGCGGGAAAGTGGCCATCCATTGGCGTCGGGGGGGCCAAAGTGCCGGCTGATGCATTATTCATAGACTCCTTTTCTCGATTATGATTTTGTCTTCCGAATGTTAATAACGCGTCGTTAGCTGCAGTAAGGTCCCAATTATATGGATTCTAGAGAAGGTGCAAATTTCCTGTGAACGAAGGGAGATTGTTTGAACAGTTTGTGATATTTAAGAGGCTCTTAAACTTAAGAACATGCTTGTTTAAAATTCCTAAATTGAAATCTTAGATTTATTACGGTGCAATATGTTAAGAAGTACTTTTCCTTTTGATTTATTATAGCCTAATTTAATTTAAAACAAATATATTTAAATTATATTGGGTTCTAAAGGATTTTCTGTTTCTTCTTTTTTAAAGAATTAATAGAGAATTTGATTTAGGAAACTATTTTTAGATATGTATTTATTTGCTCTTATTTTGCTTATTAAGGAGAAACGTGTGTCTACTTATTACAAGTCAAAATAAATGAGGCTAATTTTGTTTTCTATTTCAGTATTTCTCTTGGTAATTTAGAAAAAACGGTTCTTGACACCATATACAGAGTCTTTGATTACGTTGAATTTAGTTTAATATAATTCCATAGAAAATAAAATTAAAATATTTAGTTAAAAGAATAATTGAATAACAGACGTCTCAGCCAGTAGCTGAATTACATTCTTTAGTGGAATAAATCAATCAACTGCAGGAGTTTTGTGGCTGAGAATGGCAACTAGCTGGTTATCTTTTTATTGAACGATACGTATTCCTATCGTAATTGAAAAGTATTCCTATTGGTTGCTAACTATTTCATCAATAATGGATTACCAGTTAACAGATTCGCGAAATGAAGTCCTCTTAGACATCTCTATTAGTTACCTAACTTATCTCAGAAACAGATGGATTTAAAATTAATAATAAATTATTCACGGATATGTTCCATACACGGTTCACTAAAAATCAAGACAGCATCAATCAGACATTTAATAATCGTAAATATTTAAAAGTGGAAATCAGAGGCTGAACTAGATCAGTATTCCGCTATCATTCACTCAATTTCCGTAGCACTATTCTTTTTGGACGATACATATTGCTATCCCAATGGAAGCGTAGTCTAATTGGTTGCATCTCTAACTGATTGTCCCCAGTAGACGGGTAAGGGAAAAGACGTTAGATTAGACATACCTATTAGTAATCTCCTAGGTTTGAAATTAAAAAAACTTTGTTGCAATGCGCTCCCTGAGGAAACACCACTTCTTAGGGACGCGAAATGCTATGATTATTAATCTAATTGCCATAAGAATTTATTAGGTAAGAAATGTTGATCTGTTTGATTAGTTTTTATATTCATAATAAATTTATATTTCTGAAAAATTAAGATGAAATAGTTATTTTGTAGCTTTTTGGTTAGCCAAACACAAGGAAGTTCAACAATTTATTTAACTTTTTTTTTTACTTTTTCATTTAATTGAATTTTTTGAGAGCGTCCATTGTGTTCAGTGTTTAAAAAATGAGAAAAATAAAAAACATAAATAAGAAAATGGAGGATTCGCTCGCATTGGGCTAACCGAGAAATATTTATATTTAATACTTCACATGGCAATCTCATTTTAATGAAACAGAAAGATGTTGTCATTTTGCTTTACTTTTTTTAACAATAAATTTCTTTTTATTTATAACTACGTTACGACCAAATAAACAATGCTATATTTATGAATAATATTCAAAATATGTTATGTGTGTAATTCATATCTATGGATATTATTTACAGTATGCTATATACGTAATTTATTTTCAAGAGTAATATCCACAATAGGTAATGTACGTAATTTGTAGTCACAATATGTAATATAATCCAAAACTTTTAAAAAATTAAAAAAAAAACTTTACCTGAGTTTTAAAAATACTATCTGAAAATTATTTACAAATAATTAAAAAAAAACAACAACTCTAAATCAAATTTAAGTAAATCTAACATTCAAGATCAAAAATGACTCAATCTAAATCCGGAGGGAAAATTCTCTATGAATAAGAGACCGGAAAAATGTAGGGAAAATATTACACATCTCAAAATCTCGAATAACCCATTCATCCAAATAGGCTCTTTTAAGCACCCTCAAAATGATTAATTGATACATAAAGCGCGGCTGTGACAAGTCCTTCACCGGCTGAGTATCATGATGGAACAAGTGTTCCATTGAGTTTCAAAGATAAACGGGTAGTTTGTTACATTCATCTACCCAACCCCATTCTCTACCTTTCTAGTTACCCCCGCGTTGTCTCAAAGGAGAATAAAGAATGAAAAAAAAAGAAAGTATTCACCAAATTGGAAGAGAAAAGCCGGGTGGAAGATTATCCGTTTAAACGGCCGCAAATATGATTAGTGAAGAGAGTTGCTGTTCGGCAAGTCTTAATTTCATTAGTATAGAATTTCCTTATCCGGAAAGATATTTAATAGGTTATAGTTTTTTAGTTTTTTTAGTTAAGGCTATTGTTTGGAAAGGCGAGGAATTGGCAGTTAGATAAGAAGTATGAATATAAATGAACCAGCAGTTTCTGAAAATGAGGTTATTTTTTGGTAAGGGAAAATTTCTGCTTAATGTTTTTGAGGTTTTTTGTGAGTGACTTTTGATGTTTTATCGTGAATACATTGATCAATTAAGTAATAAGTTGTGATGGTTAGATGGCATCTTAATGTATTGGGATATAGATTCAATATTGAATGACCTATTAATTTTCCTTGTCAAATCAACTTCCATTAAATGCTGAATATTTTTAGCATAAATCTCAAATCTCAAATGTAATTTGGAATTTAAGAGTTCTAGGTTTTTTTTAACGAAAGGTTGTAAACTTAAGTACAAAGGAGCTTTTAAGCTATAGTCAAAGTTCTATCAATGCTTGTAATAAAATATAGCATACCGCAGTGTATGAAAGCATAAATACTGCAGCAAGAATTACCAGACATTTTTTTGGTACTGTGATAAGTACAGTCATTTTCAAGACATAGAATATTGATGAAGGTGGTTTTGTTATTAAACTAATTGCCTGTTATCATTTATTTCATGACTTGTGCTTTCATATGCTGTCTTTAACAGTAATACAGTGTTTTGTTTTTTAGAATGTATTTTATCAATAAACTAAATTGTTTTACAGTGATGTATATGACAAGTAATATGTCCATGGTTGGCAGTTTTTGGCCTTTTTAGAGTGAAACTTTGCAGTGTAGTACTACTTTTTTCTATTTTTAAGCAGTTATAACTAAGTACTAAGTGCTGGTATTAATGGCAGTTATGCTAACTTATCAACATGCTCATATATAGAAGAGCTACCTTTCTTACAATTGATCAGACTGGTGTTTGTCATAAACTAATTTAAAAATCCGTTTCTTCGTAAAAGTCATCACTACTTTGCAATGCGTCAAGCTAATTAAAAATATCTATACTATTTTCGATTTAATTCGATAATTTTCATGGTAATAACAAGAAGCCCATCTATCTTTTGGTGAATTAAAAATGTACGGTGATTAACTTAATCAGTCTTAGGCGTCTTTCAGTGAGCTTTGTATAATACCAGAGATTTGAATAGAGAAGGATAGTTAATCAGTCTAATTGAGCAATAACTGCTATATCTTTTAGAAATTATTTCCATGGGCACATGCATTACGACCAGCTGGAAATTTCACTGATAGAACAATATCTAGTCCCATTGGCCCAAAAGTATCTGGGCCTCTTAAAAAAGGTTAGACTGGTGCATTGTATGATGATGATCGTCTGCATATAGCCATTTTTTTTAAAATGTAAGAAGTGGAGAGGAATGTACAAACTTTATTGATTGAAAAGATATTTAATTTTAATACAAATATTGAAAATAGGCACTTCGTTTGGATTTTAATAACGTATTGATGATTGCGAATTGTTATCTTTTTACTGTGCAAAATCTTCTTAAGTTAATGCTTATTCATAATTTCAGTTACTGTTATATACAACCTAAAGCAAAACAATTTACAGCATCTGTGTTAAGTTTACTGGTCAAGGTTAAAAGCAGTCTGTTAAATGTACTAGTTGTGCATGATTTCTAATTAGAATAAAAATAGTTAATCTAATAAGCATCTCGGTATTACTACAATTACTCAAGCTTCCCAGCTTGTTTCCTACACTTTATAAAAATAATATTAATTGAAACAACGTCGCACAATATAATTTTAGTAGAAAATGATATAAAGATTTATGTGCATAAGTAGATAAACAAAGCTGCATTCTTACTTCAGCGGGAAATGCATGGCTTCCAACTCTATGTTCTGAGCCTTGTCCATCAGTTCGACCAAAATGTAAATGAATTTCTTGAACCCTGTAGCTATAGGACAAAGGACCACCACTTATGTTTACTACTGGAGATTGAGTTCCGGTGTCCACTCTGAAAATGACTCCATGGCCTGTGTTTTGTATTAATCCATTGACCTGAAAAAGATATTTAGTTATGTTTAGTTATATCTAATTCATTATTAATTTTTTAAGTACCATTGCAAAAATATTATCTAGGGGAAAAAACACGGTGCTACTTTTGACTGAAGCAAATCATGGGCTCGTTAATGAACCCAACCATAATATTTTTGGGAAGGAGTTGGATTTTTCGGTTCAACGTTTCATTCAAGACGCTGTTTATAGTATAGAGCAATGAATATAGAAAGGGAAAAAAGTCCAGGTATTCGATTACGTAACTAACGCGGGAAACTGCTCGCTATACCAGAAAAGTAACTGGCAGGGTAAGTAACTTACTAAAATTTAGCGGAGAGTCATTTGAACTAAGAACCAGCACATAAGAAGCAAAGTGACAGTCACGAGGTACCTCACCTGTGCACCAGTTGTTGGACAATTCTACATGCATAATTAGGTACGCTGATAGTCGCCAACTGCCATTTTATTCTTTCTTCCTATGCCAAAGTGTGTTATCAGATTAAGTTAACATAGATGATATAAATATATTCTCAAAGAAGTATCTTAGTTAATCGAATAGTATAGAAGCAATAGCGTAAAAATGCATAACAAAATAACAACAAATAAAGAGAGAAAAGTTTTCTTCTTATCCACAACCTCAGTAGAGGTTAGGAAGGGATGAGGATATGAACTCGTTTCAAGTACCTCTGTTTTTGTGCCCCTGAATGTTGCTTTTTCCTTCAAACACTGGGACCGCGCCTAACCTTAGGAGATTGGTTTACATTATGTCAATTGAAGCTAGACTTCTTCCCCTATGCATATTCATTGGTACAGAGCTACAGAAATTAGGCATCGACTCTTATAGCAGGAGAGTATTGGGGAGAAAAAATGATTTCTGAAATCGATATAACTCTTGGGCCCATGAGTTCCAGCTTGTTTCGCTTTTTGAAATAGAAATATTTTGTTATTAGATTATTATTCACAATTGCAAATTAGACCTCTCCCTAGAAGCAATATTGTAGAAGAAAAAATCTTTTGAATGAAATGAAATTTGCCTATAGGTTATGTTAAACTTTGTTTAACAATAATACAAGAAAATGCCACACCATTGCTAGGTTAAATAAAAACATTTATAAAATTGCATGTATAATTATTTCAGATTCAGTATATCATCACCATGTATAACATTCTCACGAACACTTTAAGAAAACAAAAAAGCCTTATTAAGAATGTTGAAACTAAACCAATAATTTGCTAATTGTGTATAGTCTATAACTTTGATTATTCTCTTGCGTTGGATCCGTGATGCATTTTATTCAGTAAAAACAGCGAAAATGCAGTCAGTTGAAATAATTCCTGCCATATAGGACTTTTAGTTCCATACAAAAAGAAATCCGGATTAAATTCGGATATAAAGAACAGGCAGTTTGGTTTCATCAACAATAAAGTCCATTTTTATCGTGAAATATTGTTATGAAATTTTTACAGTGCGATATACTTAATCAGATTGATTCACTGATTTCACTGTAACTGTGACTGTAAAAGTTACTGTATATTAGAGCAGAGAGTTCCTTAAATTTTGATTTTACTGTAAAAATTACCGGCATTCTGGGTACCGGTACATTTTACAGTAAATTGACTCGGAATTTTTTACAGTGTAATTAAATTCATCACCTGTATGGTCCTTTTTTTAAATCTCTATTTAGTCTTCAACAAAAATTCTTATATTATCTAACTTTTATTGAAGTAAAATTAATTCTGCGAGAGGAGTGTATTTATTCATTACTTAAAAATGAATGAAATAATTATCAAATGCAAAACTTAATAAGATAAAAAATTAGGGTAATATGTGAACTAAAAGATGCTTGTAAATAATGAACCAATTTCACAAAATCTTAATTTATTTGAATTACATTGGACTTAAAAAGAATTGACAAAAAGTACATTAAATCAGCTTTTCACAGTTTAACGAAAAATTTGAAAACGAAACTGGTACTATTTCCCCAAATGCAAGTTTTAATAATATAAAAGTAAAATAATGAAATGAAATCAATAAAAAAAGAATTTTTAGTGTTTTATTGAGAGCTCTACAAGGTAAAAAATGGTAATTTAAAACCACATAAAATTTATTTATGTGGTGATATTATTTAAAATAGCATCGAATCAGCATAGAATATGAAAGTTCAAATCGAAAAAAAAGGACATTTTTGTTTGCAATCGAAGGAAAAAACTATTAATAGAAAAAGAAATATAATAAAAAAAACTTCAATGTTTTCTTGGAATATTTTTTATGACACTGGAACAGGAAACAGGAGGGGAAAAAATTGAATTAATTATTGCAAAGATTTGTCAAATAAACACAAAATTAATTGCAATATCTTTGAATGACACTAATTACTCCGTTTTTAATGAAGTTTTTCTTAATTGACTACAAAAGTTATGAAGAGAAAAACTGTCATAAAAACAAAGTAATTATGTAAAATCATTTTCATTCTCATCATTAGAATTTATTATTAAGTTAAAAAAAGAATAAATAAATACATTTATTTATAATATAATTGAATTGCTCTAAGTTTTGAAGTTAAAGAAAGAAATTGTTAATTGTTATGCTACTTGAACTTATTTATATATATGTTACCGGCAAAGCATGAAACGCCGGCATTCTATAGAATGCCTACGCATTGTATATAATGCCGGATGTTTTTAGGCAAGGTATGAAATATGAGAAGTATTAGATACTTTCCCTAGGCATTGTACATAATACTTAGGTATTCTATAGAATGACAAATGCTATTTAGGCAAAGTATGAAAAAAAAAACGTCTTGATGAGGTTAATATGTAAATGGAGTGCATGTTACTTTGAATGACCGAAATCGGTGGATGTTGACTTTCAGCGGTGAATGTTGACAATCACATAGTCGCTTTGATGAATGTCCGAAATATTTATTACATTCGATTTGATATTTATTCGTGGATATAATTTCGTGGGATAATTGACATTCACCGGTGAAAGTCGACATTCTCCAGATTTCGGTCATTCACAGTAACATGCATTTCTCAAAAATAAAAATGTTAATCTGAAAAAATACTGAGAGTGCCATTAAAAAACATTGATTCAAAATGTGTAAAGAAAATAAAAAGTTGTGCAACGCATAATTTATGCCTTTCTTATTAAGGGAAACAAAATTTTCATATAAAAAATAAGAAATTAACCTTTTTGTTGCAACATGGCAGGCTTGAATGACCTTTTGAATTTGTCATTTTTGAATGACATTTTGACGAATCGGAGATGTATTTTATACTTTGCCGGTTTCTCATTTGGCATTCTATAGAATGCCTAGGAAATGTGTAAAATATAAATCGTTTCATACATTGCCGGCTAGTTTTAGGCATTATATACAATGCCTAGGTATTCTATAGAATGCCGAATTCCAAACTTTGCCGGTAACATATACATCATAAGAAGGTATCGTACCTAATAATTCCGTACATTCTATTTGCTCAGAAAAATTACAAAATACAGTTGAGTGCAAAGAACAAAATTCAGTTAGAATTAACATAAAGTCATTCGAAGTTATGAAAGTTTTACCTTATTTACTTTTCTCTTACTTAACGGTGTTTACCTATAATATTTATTTATCAATATTTCTTTAAAATAGGGCATCACCACCTCCTTTTCACTATCACTCGACAACTTAGCAGTTACTTTCGTATCGCTTCTTGACCCGCTAGCTCACCAGATATTTAGTCTAATATTCTTGTTTAAGCTACATACTCGTACAATGACCAAAATTATCTGGCAATCAGTCATTACTCAATCAAAAATCTTCACGTCCTAATTTATTGAAAGAAGTACTAAACAATACATAACATAATTTTATTCGCAAAATACATATTCATATTTATAATTTGTGAAGAGTATGCAACATTATAACTCACCATGAGTAAAGAGAGTCAAATGAGAAAGATATACTTTCTGAATACGTAAATTGTACCGTGCATGCAAGCAACTATTATTATTCTTTTATTAATATATACATATATATATATATATATTAATAAAAGAAGAAAACTGAGCGTTCAACTGAGAATTATAATTTTTTTGCTAAGCAAATAATACCTTTACTTTGTTTTCTAAATGCACAGCTTGTATTTAGTGTGAGTGTGCTTTTTTGTATTCCTTTAATTCTTTTTCATAATTTTGTTTCTACATTTATGCATCTCTTTAATTCTTTTGAAAATTTAAAGTCGCAAAAACTAGAAAAATTTCAAAAATTGAATTTTTTTTAAAAATATATTTTTTCCTTCAAGTCGTAAGTCTTACCGCACTAATAAAACCGGGTACGCTTGTTAACTCTATGGGAAATTTAGAAGTACTAGAACTTAAGAGAAACAGATATTTCTATTTTATATGACAATTTAAGAAAATCATGCATGAAATTTATATGTGATGCAATGCAGTTCTTCCTACATTGCAACACCACTTCCGCGAGCCCAGCATTGACATACATCGATGGAGTACCCGGTCTCATCCCAGAGTAGATGTTATCGAAACGAAACAGAACAGTGTTTCTTTTGGACCAAATTTTTCTAGTTTGTTAGGGTATGAAACTGTAGTAAACATGTATTGAACTAAAAATGAAATTTATATAATTAACGAAGCGAATACTGTGTAAAAGCAATTGCTATAATTGCAATGACCAATAAATAATGCTTGTTTAAAAACATAAGAACATTAGAGAGTTAACATAGCAAAACAAAATTATCTACACAGGCACTGTGAGTATCGAGTATTTCAGAGTTCTGCCCGCTAGAAACAGAACTAATTTCGACACAATCGAGGTACTCTCGCTTTACCGCCCGGTTTTACTTCGCTTTCCTTCATAGTAGAATAAGTATTGCCTTTCTTTTAGCTATTATTATAATGTTTTCTTCATTATTTATAAGCATGTATTTAAAGATGCAATTTATACTTTTCCATTCAATTTTTTAACTAATTAGGCTTCAATTATATATTAATATAA